CTTTGGGAGGCCGAGGCAGGAGGACCACTTGAGCCCAGGAGTTTGAGACCAGCCTAGGCAACATAGCAAGACTTCATCTTTACAAAAAATCAAAAAAATTAGCCCAGTGTGGTGGTATGTACCTGTCATCCCAGCTACTCAGGAGGCTGAGGCAGAAGGATCACTTGAACCCAGGAGATCGAGGGTGTGGTGAGCCATGATTGTGCCACTGTACTCCAGCCTGAGCGAAGAAGTGAGACTCCAACTCAAAAAACCAAAACCAAAAAAACTAGCATTTGCTCCCTATTGGCTCTGGTCCAGTCCTAGTCACCCAAGACTTCATTATACAAGTAGCTGTGTCTGTAGGACTTGCAGCAGACAAGCTCTGACCCCTGAACCCCCTTTCAGGAACACAGGGTTAGGTGAGCTGACCTGGATGAGAGTGCTGAGTGCTGAGTTCACGGAGTAGAAGCCATGTCTGCTGGGGCACAGTCTAAACAGGTACCCTTCTGGACACACCTTGGATGCACTAGTCCCAGTGCATCAGATAGGAGTCTTATCACTCCTAGACAGCCCCTGCACCCAGAGTCCACAGCAAATGTGTCAGGGGTTTGGTGGCCTTGTGACTTGTGCTCACATGGTCGTGGCGCCTCGCCGGTGTTGGCGGCAATGCTCCCTATGTGTGAGCCACGCCACTCAGGGTACAGATGTCTAGTCTTCTCCTACCCTCCCCACAGGCAGCGACTTGTCCGGTGAAGGCACAAGTGTGCATCCCCGTGGGTTCCCAGAGACAGCTTGTGTCTTATAAAAGTCCTTCAGATCATCTCCTGAGACAAACAGTACAAGGGCTCACACAGCCAAGCTCTTCCAGCAAAACTCTTTCCTGATGAAACAAGCGGTAAAAACTGCATGGAATTGCAGCACTATTCACCTTGGAGACACTGGCCACAGCCTGTTGCCAGAATGGCCAGGTGGTGAGTGCTTGTTCTTCAGAGGGGAAACCCTTTCTCTCGTCAGGGCTGACTTCTGTCACGGGCGGATGGGAGACATCCTTATTGGCTCCAACCTGGGCTAGGAATGAACGAAGCCTTGTTCCGGGCCTGTATTCATTCTCCCTTCCTAGAACAGGACTGGGCGTTCTTCCCCCCAAGGAACCATACCCGAGCTGTCAGGGAGTGTTAAGTTCCCTCTTAGTTTTTTCCATGGAGTAGGTTGTATTAAGGAATGGGTCATCAGAGACAATCAACATACTCCTTGAGAGGCAATTATCTCCCCTTCCAAGGGAATTCATAACCTGACCATGTTTCAGAGTGCTGGGCTTGGAGGGCCCACTCTCGACTCCAGTGACCGAGTTCTAGAAAGATGAGTAGCCAGCATCTGGCTCCAGTCCACGGATGAGAGGCCACAGCATCTTGACTTTCGGGTCATGCCATCACTCTGCATTCACTGTCATTCTGTAGGTGTATTTATAAGACTGGCATGCCTGATGAAATGGTCTCTTCCCAGGAAGATGGTGGGGCATTGGTAGGGATGATGAGTTCCAAAGTAAATATACTATTATTTTTAATATAAATGCACCATTCTTAAACAATGAAACATAGTAATAGTACCTTTTCTAAATACAGCATGCCAAAAAGTGATACGTAGTTTAGAGCACGATTTAAAGAAATGTAAACACTCAGCACTGCCAGATTCCTCTCTCGGTGACCTTCCATCGTTAGTGCTCTTAGTCCCTTCTCTCTCCTGCTAACAGGGACCTACCAATCTTCCCCATGTAGACTTCAGCTCCAGAAGTCCATGAGATTCCCTAGATCTGGAGTTCAGATTCCCCTATGAATTTTCTCTTTCTAGGAGGAACGTGTTCCATAATTGCCTTTTTCTATCTCATGGGAAAATTCTAGATTTCTTATTTCTGTGTTCATAGCTTTTGCATCTTTCTACTGTTGTGATCAAAGTCACAATGAAAAAGTTTTCCTGTCTCTTGATTCCCTGCCTGGCCTCCCTTGGATGACGTTTCTGTAATTAGGAGATTTGCTTTGCCGTCTTTTGTTTTGCCTTTTATTCTGTCCTTACCCTGCCTGTGAATCTAATAATATCTGTGAAATTTGGATGAAGACTTCTGCTTCTGCTTAGCACACAGAAATTGACAAGAATGTCACTCCCACCCAAAAGATGAGAGCAAACCAGGTTATCTACAAAAGCATAGCTATTTCAAGCCCACCATAGAACTGAGGTCACGAAGTAGTATAATGAGCTAACATTCAAAAAATGACAAGCCCTTCTCAGGAGAGCCGGACCCCATGGCTGTGTCCAGCTTTGGAAGGAACAGAAGAGAGCTTTCACAGATGGAAGGAAGAATTATTAAAGGCTGAATGGGGACTGGCTGGTTTGTTTAGGATTCCAGGGGGCTCCAGACACAAGAAGAGCCTCCCCTTCATACACACCCCCTTTTCCACAGACTTCAGTGGGTGCTCATGACAGAGATTGGGAGCAGGACAGGAATGCTGAGAAGACCTAACTGAGGCAGAGGCAGGTCAGGCCTGCTGTCATCAGAGGGTAAAGCAGGAAAACCAAGGGAAATTCTCTACTCTGTGGGTTCTGTGCTAAGCTCCAGACAGTGGAGGGACAAAGAAAACTGAGAGAGAGCCCCTAGAGGAGGGGTGGCTGCATGAGGAGTTCTGAGGGCCTGCAGAGCCGAGAGAAACTCCTTTTGCACACCAGGCCTCATGCCACTTCCCAGCGGCAGCTTTCTGGGCCCCAGGGAGAGATGGTATTGCGAGAGATGACCCCACCACCATCCCTTAGACATGGACCCACAGAGCCTGCTGGAGTCTGAGGACGGGGGAGACAGAGAGGAATTCTTCAGGAGCTCCAGGAATTCATTCCATTGGTGCTCCAGGCCTCACACCGTGTCCTGGACAGCCACTGGTCTAGGGTATTCTAGGCACTGGGAACAAAGCAGTGAACAAAACCAGCACGGGTCCCTGCCCCAGGAACTTGCCTCCTGAGAAACAAAAGGAAATGATAGGGGTAATAAGTGCTACAGAGAAAAATAAAGCAGGAGGGGGTGGGCAGGGTGGGGACAGGACCTGAGGAGGGACAGGAATTGGCCGTGGGCACAACTAATGCAGTGGCTGGTGTGTGGCTGCCTGCAGGAATGATGGTCCAGGAGGGACAGCAAGCTATCGCCTGACACAGGACCTGGCCTGGCAGGTCCACAGAGCAGCAGGGAGACGGGGTCAGGAAGACAAAGGGGTCAGGCGAAGGAAAACCTAGGCTTTTAGGTGAAGAGATCAGGCCTTGCTTTTGTAGCACTCTTTTCAATTACCATAATTTAGAGGTTAGAAGAACTAAGACTGCAGCAGGTTTCACTACTTAAAATACATTTGAGCAGCTTGGAAGCCACTTTAGAAGCATCAGCAAAGGAGTGGGCCCGTCCACCCCATGCACTGCATACTGTTATCTAGAAATCAGAGGTGTTAGTATGTAATGTCACTTATTGCATCATGGGATTCAGGGTAATTTTTATTTGTGGTATTTTTCATTGTATTTCAAGTTCAAAACTAAGGAGGACTAATACTAGGAATATATACATTCAGGTGTGTTTTTTAATATGCACATACAAAAAATGTATAGCAAGCAGTATTTAAGGAGCAATGATGAAACTGATATGCCTCATGCTCTCCTTAGTTTCCCATTTGTTTTATATCTTTTTTTTTCTTTTTTCAATTTCAGTAGCTTTAGGGGGTATAAATAATTTTTGGTTCCATAGTTGCTTTGGATAGTGGTGAAGAAGTCTGGGTTTCAAGTGTACCCACCACCCCCACCTGTGCACGCTGTACCTGGCAGGCCATTTTTCATTCCCCACCTTCTAAGTCTCCAGCATCTATCACAGCCTTCAAAAATACGGAACACCTCACGAAATGTGTGTGTCACCCTTGCTCAAACCCCATGCTCATTTTCTCTGCGTCACTCCAACGTTCGTATATGTGCTGCCAGAGCGAGCACTTGTTTCATATATCCGGGCAGAAGGAAGTCAGGGAAGCTGGGTGGTGCACTGGCAAGCAGCAGGGACTTTGGAATCGCCCACACTTGGGTTCAGTAGTTGCTCACATTCCCTGTGCTCCCTGAGCATCCCAGTCTTTGTCTGGAATGGAGCCGAGGCTGGGGAAGGTGCCTCAACAGGAAGTCGTGGGCCTGCGGCCAGAGCCTGCCTGAGCTCCTGCACCTGGGGACCCCTCATGGAAGCCCTTCCTCTGGGACGCTTACCCCTAGGGCTGGTCTCAGTCCATCCGCTGCTCTGTCCTGAACCCCCGGTGGGTTTGGGTTCCCAGGTGCCATCACGGGGTGGTCTCAGCATGGCTGAGGTCAGCAGGGGTGTCGCCACCCCCCCCAGCTTCCCTGACTTCCTCCTGCTTGAAAATATGAAACAAGCTGGGAGCCCACACCCTGATTCTCCTCTGTCTCATACCTTGTGTCCCACTCCCTAGGAGGTGAGCTCTAAAAATCCTCACCCAAGAGATCTTTTGTCAGGAATGGGCTAATTTCAAATTAGTTCTTTAATCTATGAGAAGAGTGTGGAAGAAAAACAACCCTCTTACACAGTTAGAAAGGCTGTTCACATCTGGATTAACCAAGTACTTTCCTTCCCGAAACACTCATGTGCTCTCATGAAAAGCCCAGCTTTGGCAGTTTCTCTTGCCCAAGCCAGCTCTGAGATGTCTCCCTTTCTTTTCTCTCTTCTTTCTCTAATAAACTTTATTTGAAAATATTAAAAACTAAAATTTAAAAAGCCCAGCTTTGGTGATAGTCAGGAGTACAATCTCTCACACCTGTTTTGGACATGTTGGTTTGCACCTGTTCCTTTTTGCAGTGGAATTGGGTTTTTTTTTTCTAGTTAACACGTGTAAGGTGTGCAGCTTTGGTGTAGCAAGCTTCTACAGCAGGGGCTGTGGAGACAGGTAAGTGAGATTCAATATCCGAGGCGCGCTGTAAAAACTGTCTTTGGTTTCTTTTCGCAGCAAACCCAAGGAGCCTGTATTCAGTGCAGGTAAGTCTGATTTGCTTTTTGTGTGGATTCCCCTCACTCACTTTCTTGGGACCTGAGGGGCAATGAGAAGCAGCTATTTCCAGGGCCAGCCTTTGACACGCAGGAGCTTTGGTGTTTGTGCGGACCAGATGGATAGCTGTCAGTGTGCTCCCTGGGGGTCCAGAGACTCAGATCATGACAGCAAGACAGCCTAAAAACAGTTGTAAAGACCACGCCCTTCCTTCACCCCCTCTGAAACTGATTTAAGACATGTCACTAAAGGGGAGAGAAGAGGGCCTCCACCTATGCAGTAATGGATTTCTAGATCAAAAGACTCCTGTTGCCTTGGTTATTCCTTTCTTACTAACTGGATTCTGTCATCAACATTTGCATTTCTCTCAAAGGGAAAGTTTCAGATGCATCAAGTTATATAATTGTCTAAAAGTAGCTTTTCTTTTTCTGCCTATGATCTAAACTGCAAACTAATAGTTCGTATATACCTTTCATATACCTTTTTATAACACATTGGATAATAAGGTCAATGCTGTTCTTTAGAATCTTAACCTTATTTAAAAATGCATTTAAAGTGCAAAAAAACATTGGACAGGTATGCAGTTGGTTCAATAAATGCATTCAGTTTTTATTTTCTAGTTACCTTCTTAAATTCGGAATTGAAGCATAAGAGTCAGAGTATTGTATTTATCAGCATGTGCTTTAGTGGTCGTTTCCGTTTCAGGAAGCGTGAAATTACTCACTGAAAGCGTCATTGCCTTGAGCTCACAGGGCCACATCCTGAGCTCACAGGGCCATGTCGTGAGTTTACGTGTCGGGATCCCTGGATCCAGATTTGACTCCTGGGGGGCAGGGTAGGTCTCCACCTGTGAGCTAGCGAGCGCTCCCAGGGCAGGCAGGTCAGCCACACTGCAGAACTCCCGTCTCTTTATCTAGCCCTTCTGTCTCTGTCTCCGAAATCTCAAGGGAAGCGCCGGGTGACACACTGCAAAGGTAGGCAGCATTTCGGAAACCTCATAGCTCTCTGAGCACAGCTGTTACCCGGGCTGCAGAAACCTTTTTCATACAGGCCAACAGATACTCTCCTTGTATGAAAACGTTTTGTGATGCAAACCCACTCCAATTTATTTTAAGTTAAAAGCTTCCCTGAGCATTTACTTGGATGGGCTTTCGTAAGTAGCTATCATCTGGGTCTTGATTGGTTATTGACTGATGGCAGGAAATTTTTCATCTGTACAAACCTTAAGAGAGCTATAGGGCCACCCCTGGATGTCCCACTGTTTGACTTGGTTCCCTGCACTGCCTCTGGCCTTCCCCACTCGCGCCTCTAGGTTTGGTGATGTGTGTGCTGTTGTCCTAACACGCCTGGAAAAAAACTTTGCTTTCCCTGGCTGCATTTTGATTTTAGACGTCGCCTGTCTCAATAACCAGTACAAAACAGCATCGAGGCTAAATTCAGTGCTTTTTAAATTTAATTTTATTTTCTCCCTAGTTCAGTAATTTTAAATCGTGCAGTAAGTAAGCTCAACCATGAGGATGCTCAACCAATGTAACTGGTGTTCTCAAGTGGATGGCTCATACACGTGGATTATACATATCCTCAGTGGGCTGTTTGTGCATTGTGGAAATGGCATCATGCCGTCTTCATTCGTAACCCACATTCTGTGAGTTTTCTGGCATGACAGTCTTCTCTTACAGAGAGAGCTGATGGAGTCCATGGCTCCTGCCCCTGTCACTTCAGCTCAGGGCCTTCAGTTCTGATGACCACACCGTCTGATGAGCTTAGCCTGAGCGAGGGATTAAGAGGGGAAGACGCTTCAGAGAGGATAGCATGAGCGGACGCATGAGACGGGCTGAGGTGCAGGGTGGCAGAGAGACATGCCTGACCTGAGAGGAGCACCCCCTGGGGGCTGTGGTAGATGAGGTCGTGAGGTAGATGAGGTGGTTAGACCTCCTAGATCTGGCAAGGAAGAGGGCAGGCGGAGGAACCCGCATGGAGGAAGGACTGTGAAATCCAGTCTGGGTCTTGCTGGTTTAGCAGCAATGTATAGGCTGACCAGGGGAGCAGGAAGAGGCAAGAGGTGGTAGGGCCACAGATGGACAGCCCCGGTGACGCTGGGTGTGGCGCGGGGGGAATGAGGCACACACTGATGGGAGGGTCAGTGGGACGCAGGCTGAGGACGTTCATGACTCTCACGTCAAGGCAGACTTGACGTGCAGTGTGGAGAGTGTCACGTGCATGCCTTTAAGACCCGAAGCACACGCACACGATGACATAACGTTGGATGGCTCTTCATTTCAAAGTAATATTGCATGTGGCACTGTTTGAAAATCATTAAGAACAAAACTTACAGACTCGCTTGCACTGTAATCATGTCATAGCTTTTCCTCACTGATGTTCTCTCTGAGGATGGTCTTTCTGTCAAATTGTGTACAGACAACCCCGTTCCAATTGCCCGATTTCAGTGCCGTTAAGGTCGGGTCCTTTGATCTGTAGCGAAGCATCAGAAGTCAATGAGTTCTGAGTCTGAGCAGAATTCATCAGGAACACATGAGACAGTTTCTTTGCTGTTGTCTTATCCTGAAAGCTCTAGTCAGAGCACCCCAAGATGTTTTTTTGTAAGGTCCAAGAGTTATCCCATTTCAATATATTACTGATATTTACTTTTGTCCCTATAGTTTATTGAGAGATCAAAAGTTATTTTACTGTAGAAATGTTTGTTCTGGAAAGCTTTGCTTCCTGATTCCTCTCTCCAGTGGGTCTTTTGTTTTCCATTTCTAGCTTTTCTTTGAGCATTTTCCTTTTTGCATGCATCCTAGCACGCACTCCTGCTGATTGTGTGTTCTTTACACTTGAAAGAATTGTCCAATGTAAAAGATACATAAAGATATGTTTTTATATTACAACATAGCAAGTCAATTCAAATATTGAAAAATATTTTGTGAATTTTGATATTGAGGTCATGTACACATTGAACGCAATAAGAAGTTTTAAGTGAATTTCCTGTGTTAGCTGTAATTTTGGGGGATGGTATTTTTTCTCCCTCCTGATAATAAAGTGTAAGCACTCAGATGTCATGGAAAATCATTGCTGGAATCTACTTCCTTCTTGCCTTTTATAATTTTTTCGATATTTCATGTATTTAAGTAAGCAGAATGTCAAAAGCAGGCAAGGCATAAACTTTTATTTCAAACTGTTTAATTTTATGTTAGTTATTTTTCCCCTAGAATATTAATTAGAAATGATACAAGGTTGGAGTTTTTACTTTTATGTTGCAAGGTTAGAGAGGCTATAACATTCGTGTGCAGGTCTGCTGGCCACTGAGGTATCTTACTAACATCTTTGTTCTTTTTGTAGAGGAAGGTTATGTAAAAATGTTTCTTCGTGGACGTCCCGTTACCATGTACATGCCCAAAGACCAAGTGGATTCTTACAATTTGGAAGCAAAAGTAGAACTTCCAACCAAGAGACTCAAGCTGGAATGGGTGTATCCTTTACACATTGATTGGATCTTACACAAAGTTACCCATTGGTCCGTGCTTGAAATTTAGCTGTAGACATTCGTAAAACTTAAGTCTTCTTAAGCTTTTAAAAAACAAGATACTTTACTCTCGCTTTTAAAGAACTTAATTTATCAAAATTGACCGTGTGTTAGAAGCCAGTACAGCATCCTAGCTAGGGAGGGGTGCCCCCCAGGAACTTCTGATTAAGGGGGAAACTGACCATTTCTGAATGAAATATCTGGGGTTCTTGCTCAAATACAGATACATTATTATTTTCCTAAGAAGAGACTATTAAGATGTTATGTAATTGTATGAATGATTTTCTTTTTTTTCTTTTTTTTTTTGGTGGCAAAGGCAAGAGGATTGCCTGAGTCCAGGGGTTCGAGATCAGCCTGGGCAACTTGGCAAGACCTTGTCTCTACTGTAATTTAAAAAATTAGCCAGGTATAGTGGTGCATGCCTGTAGTTCCAGCTACTTGGAAGGCTGAGGTGGAAGGATCGCCTGAGCCCAACATGTCAAGGCTGCAGTGGCTGTGAGTGTGCCACTGCACTCCAGCCTTGGCGACAGTGAGACTCCAACTCAAAAAAAAAGGTACAAAGAAGCAAGCTTAGTGAAAATAATCAAGAATGGGTGGGCTTTAGGATTCTAGTGAGAATGAAAGAGTTGATTATATTTACCAGAAGCTATCATAGACTAAGTCATCTCTTCAGGGGCTGTTGGAAAAGCCGAGAAACAACAGTAACAGAGAAAACACTGAACTTGTGAATGAGAAAATGAGAATATCATACATTGAAACTAAACCCTGTTGGCAAAAAAGTTTTTAAACCCAAACAAAGGAAGAGGCGTACCCTGAAAGGAATAACTAGCCTTCTCCCCCTTAGCTAAGCAGGGACTTGGCCAACCTTAGGAACCAAATTCAAGAGTAATGCTGACTGATTGAAGAATCACATAAGACTATGAATACCAGCCAGGCACAGTGACTCACACTTATAATCTGAGCACTTTGGGAGGCTAAGGCAGGAGGATTGCTTGAGCCCAGGAATTTGAGACCAGCCAGGTCAACTTAGGAAGATGTTGTCTCTACAAAAAGATAAAAAACGTAGCCAGGCATGGTGGTGCACACCTGTAGTCCCAGCTGCTCGGGAGGCTGAGGTGGAATGATCATCTGAGCCCAGGAGGTCAAGGCTGCAATGAGCTGTGATCACACCACTGCACTCTAGCCTGGGCAACAAAGGGAGACCCTGACTCAAAAAGAAAAGAAAAGAATATGAATACCAAAGTACTAAGTGAAAGGAGTCAAATGAGTGGTATAAATAAAATTGACATGTGTAGCATAGACAGTCCTACTCCTTAAAAAAGAAAGCCGGGTAAGTGGCGTGCTCCTGTATTCCCAGCTTCTTGAAAGCCTAAGGCAGGAGGATCGCTTGAGCCCAGGAGTTCAAATCCAGCCTGGGCAACAGAGGGAGACCTGGTCTCAAATATATATTTAAAATGCTCCCAGGCCAGCCTCGGTGGCTCAACCTGTCATCCCAGCACTTTGGGAGGCTGAGGCATATAAATTGCCTGAGCCCGTGGATTCGAGACCAGCCCGGGCAACTTGGCTAGACCAGGTCTCTACAATAAATCAAAAATTAGCCAGGCATGGTAGCATGCACCTGTAATTCCAGCTACTTGGAAGACTGAGGCGGAAAGATCACCAGAGCCCAGCAGGTCGACGCTGGGGTGGCCGTGAGTGTGTCACTGCACTCCAGCCTGGGCGACAGAGTGAGACTCCAACCCAAAAAAATAATAATAAAATAAAATGCTACCCAAAAATCTAGGCCAAAAATTCTGAATCAATCATATGACTTAAAATAGAGCTGTCAGCAGCTTCACAGAATGAGGTTTGGAAAAGTGAGCTTCCAGGAAAAAATAACTGAAAGACGGGAACATAGACCCTGTGAAGACGATAAATTAAATGTTGATCCCACCCCGCCATCTAATTCCATTTGTTTATTTGTTACTTTAGAGGAAGTCTGCTGGGGTTGCCCACCCTTCATTCCATGCAGACTTTAAGGCAAAGAGTAAAAATCCTTTTTTTACCCTCAAACAAGTATTTATTGAGTACCTGTTTAATACCAAGCCTCGGCCACAAATGATAAGAAGCAGTTTTAAACTGAAGCTGCTATAACTTCATTCAGAAGAATTACTATTTGAGATTATTGAATCCTATTTTTGGGAATTAAAAAAAATCACTACCTATACCTAAATTTCTCCCCCAGAATACATTTTTAAAAATTTTTTTCAGGTTTAAAAGTCATATGGGTGGCCAGGACCTGTTTGGGGATCTATTTTGATGCGTGTAACTGAAGTGCTTCAGCTCTGCTTTAAGTCAGTGGCGGTTTATTAAATGATTAAATCAAACCTGGAAAACATCAATCAAAACAGTTATTGAGCCCTACTTTCTCTTCCTATTTTAGAAAATGTAAAGCAGTGAAATTCAGTCCAAATAAATGCTATCTTTGGCCAGGTTTTTGGGTGGTGGCATTGTTGTTTTTGAGTCAGAGTCTCACTCTGTTGCCCTAGCTAGAATGTAGTGGCACAATCATGGCTCACCACAGCCTCAACCTCCAGGGCTCAGGTGATCCTTCTTCCTCAGCCTCCCTGGTAGCAGGGACTACAGGCACATGCCACCACACCTGGCTAATTTTTTGTAGAAATGAGGGCTCGCTATGTTGTCCAGGCTGGTCTCGAACTCCTGGCCTCAAGTGATCCTCCCACCTGGGCCTCCCAAAGTGCTGGGGTTACAGGTGTGAGTCACTGCTCCTGCCTTGCCAGTTTATTTTTTTTTTTTTACATTCAACTTCAAATGGTGTTTTGCTCTCAAATTAGTTTTCAAGGTTTGGAAGTAGATATACCAAAATTTTAACATGGGTAATTATTCCTAAGGAGCTGAGGAAAGGGAGACATAATATTTTTAAACTTTTATATATATGTATGTCATTTGTGCCACTTATTAGCACTTTTATCATGTTTACAAAAGGGTTTTTTTGCCGGGCTCGGTGGCTCAGCCTGAAATCCCGCGCCTTTGGGAGGCTGAGGTGAGTGGATTGCCTGAGCCCGCGGGTTCAAACCCGCCTGGGCAGCGAGACCTC